TAAGATAACGATGAATCTTGATTTTGTTTTTAACTAAACATATGTATGGTGAAAATAATAATAATCAATTTATTATGAGCACACATGAATATATATATTTTTATATATATATATATATATATATATTTATATCAAACATATGTTTGATTTTCGTCTGACCAAACACTAATAAATATCAATTACGACAATATCGTATTTTTGATTTTTTAATTTAATAGTTTTAGCATCATACTTGTTATCAATTTTTTAAATACTATAAATAGCTAATTTTATTTGTTGTTAGGATTTTCTAAAAAAGAAATAATTATATTTTATAAATCTTCCTTTTATTTTAAATAAAAATACTATCTGATACTTTAAAAAAAATTGCTTAGGAATTTAGAAAATTAAAAATATTATCATATAAACTTTTACAATTATCTTTTATTTAGAATTTAAGAAAAAAAATCTAATTGCTTTCAAATAATAATTTATATTAATACACATCCACAATTTCTCAAATTAATTGACACATGTCATGATTATGTTAATTAACAACTTTGATGAGAATAACAAGCTGACGTGAGACTCACAAACTTTGGCAATCAAATTGTGTTTCGAGCTACTATTTTCATAATATGTGACTTTTTTTTTGGGCAACATATGACATACGACATGTGACTATAACTACACTTTTATGTATTTATTATAATTTTTTGGAAGTAAATTCATTTGTGTTATAGAAAATATCACAAATGATATATTTTATGTGTAAAAGTAAAACATGCACATATGAAATTCGGTTTTGTTTCGGATTTCATAAAAATAGAAAATTGACCTGAACCCAACTTAACTTGAACGGATCCGATCAGAAAAGTTAGAAGTTCCTAAATTGGTCTAAAACATCTCAGCTCAACCCAAATAACCGAATCCAACTTAAACCATAAACCAAAATGCCCAGGAGTAATGTGTACCATCCACATGATGTACCTAAAAGCATAGAAAACAGTGTTTGGTTTCTCAGACAACAACTTTATGCAATAAGTCAAATTATTATTTTTAAATCATTTGAAACTACATCATTCACTTACAGGTTCCTAAATTGGTCTAAACCATCCCAACACGAATAACTGGATCCAACTTAAACCATAAACTGA